AATGAGAAATTTCTGGACAGTTGATCATTTTTGTAGAGTAAAAATCCATTGAAGGATGTAGCTAACTTTTTATAAAGAGACAACTAGGAAGTAAATATCCAGACTTCTCTCTCCTACTTGTCTCCCATTTCCTACACGTGATTTCTATGGGCCAAACTAAACAGAAAGCCAGAGGTCCTCAAAGTTTCGATGAAGATATACTTCATGCAGTAAAGCTTTCAGTGTTTATTCTGAGTAATTTGTTTAGCTCACTTTACACTATTATAATCTTTGTATTATTTTCAAGAATGTATTTATTAATTTGCTCACCTTGTGTCTGGTCAGTGTGAAATTCACCTCAATTCAATGTGTCAGTAACATTCCATAGGCTGATCTCCCTAATTTATGTGAGGAAAAAACAAAAAAAAAAAAACAAAAAACTTCATCACCAGGAGAAAGAGATTCACTCATCAGGCTGCCATCCTCTGATAGGGACCTAGAAGTAACCCATAGGGATAATTTTTGGGATTCCTCAAGGAACTCAATCAACTTTACAAAAAGAGAGTTAGAAAGAATCTCAAATGGTAAAAATGGGATTGAACTTCATGCAGTTCCCTAGCCATGTCCTGGCACTCCTCAACAGAGGGCACTACCGGCCCTTACTGGGCTCAGTTGCTAAAGATAGCCTTGGAAAATGTTGTGTAAGAAATATAAATGATAGGGTACATGCCAGAACAAAATAATCTTCCTGTTTACTTTTGTTTGAGGGGGTAAGACTGTGCAACATGACTATTATCAAGCCAATTTGTACCATTGACTTCACTATATGTTTAGGATGTTTGTAACCATGCTATAATGTATTATAATTACATTTGAATCAATTCAAATGTAATTTCAACAAATTTGAGTATAATCAATTCACCTACGTTAAATGAAACACAGACCTACTGTATTCATATTTTACATTCTTTGGTGGGCCATTAAGGCATATATATATGTATATATTATATATTACATATAGATATAAAGATGAAAACAGTGAGAGATAAAGAGTTGATGTTTAAAAATTTAAAAATAAAAATTATTTTCTCTGCATTACTAATGCCAAGTCTTCTTTTCAGATTTACAACTGGATAATTGTTAAAACATTATGGAGAAAAGTGTTTTAAAAAATTTTGTCAAAGTAAAAAAAAAAAGGTTAAACTCACAATTCCAGTATATGTAGACTGTCTGAATATTCATTAATTTTAATAATTAAACTATTTCAGTTTTTACACAGAGAATAGTTTTTCTCAGATTATTTGAGAGATTTAATCAAGAAAACATGCTAACCTCTTGGGGGGCAATGAAAAGCTAAGATTTTAAGATGATTCATAGAATAAATATCTAAGATCTAAAGAAGAAAGTATATATATGACAGAGAACGAATTCAGCTCAGTAGCAGTTTTCATCAAAAACCTTGCCACACATTCAAGACTTCTGTTTAGCCGTATTGGAATGATGGTTCAATTCCCAAAGTCCTGATTACAATTCAGGTCATTATATTCAGCCAACCCTAAGTTTTAGATATAAACACTCTCTACCCTCATTAAAAAGAAAAAAAGAATCAGCAATGACATGTTTGTTGTCTCAGAAAACACAGGCTTAAAAGCTGAAACAAGTATCTCTTTCTTTCAGACTATCGAGAATAATCACTGCCTCAGCTAATCACTGTTTTTCTAACAGTATGTGCTATTGATGGTATGAATATTTTAATACATGTCTTGCATTATTATTTGATCATTTGGGGTATGTGCTGGGGAATTCTATTATCTTTTTCAAAATGTTATGTGCTCTCTGGAGAAATGTTTTGGCCTCTCCCTCCAAAATACATAGGCATAATTTTGTACATGACATATGAAAATATTTTTTTTTAGTTGACATATACCCCTACATGACTTTGAACTTAGGCAGAATGAAAACGGGGCAAAATTAAAAAAATAATTGCAGCAAATTCCTCTGTTTAGTAGCTCTTGTATCAATGTCCTAAAGTCAAAATTGCTTATCATATTTTACAATATCCTAAATTTCAATCTGAAAAAGTGAAATTCAACACTATTTATGCTTCCTCTCAATACAGTAAAGTTTCTATTTGTATTTAGTAGATATTAGTAAAAAATTCATGATGACAGGAGCAAAACATAAGAAATATATTTGTCATGAAGGGAAGTTATTAGAAACTTGAGTCAAGTAAAACCACATTAAAATATTTACTCAGTTTTGTGGTAAAAAAATAATTTGGCTCAGAATTTCAAGATAATGCAGAGAAACAATTCAGAATTCTATCAGATAAATTTAACAAAGAGGTTGAAATAATTAAAAAGAATCAAGCAGAAACTCTAGAATTGAAAAATGCAATTGAGATACTGAGGAATATATCAGAGTCTCTTAATGGGTTAATTGATCAAGCAGAAGAAAGAATTAGTAAGCTGGAAGACAGGCTTTTTGAAAATACACAGGGGAGAAAAAAGAGAAAAGAATAAGAAAGAATGAAGCATGTCTGTGAGGTGTAGAAAATAGCCTCAGGGGGACAAATCTAAAAGTTATTGGCCTTAAGAAAAAGAGAGAGAAAGAGAAAGGGGTAGAAAATTTATTCAAAGGGATAATATTAGAGAACTGATATTCTCAAACCTTGAGAAAGATACTAACATTCAAGTACAGGAAGGTTATAGAACACAAAGCAGATTGAACCCAGAAGAACTGTAACTCAAGGCATTTAATCTCAATCTACAGGTCAAGGATAAAGAAAGAATCCTAGAAGCAGCAAGGAAAAAGAAGTAACATACAATGGTGCTCCAATATGTCTAGCAGAGACTTTTCAGTGGAAACCTTACAGGTCAGGAGAGAGTGGTATGACATATTTAAAGTGTTGAAGGAAAAAAAAATAACTTTACCTTAGAGTAATATATCCCTCAAACATGAAGGAGAAATAAAGACTTTCCCAGACAAACAAAAGATGAGGAATTTCATCAATAGATTTGTCTTACCAAAAAATACTAAAGAGACTACTCCAAGCATAAAGGAAAAGAGGTTAATGATCAATAAATCATAGAAAAATACAAAACTCACTGGTAATAGTAAGTATAAAAAAATACAGAATATTATAACACTGTAACTATGGTACCTAAACTACTCTTAAATAGAAAGACTAAATGATGAACCAATAAAAAATAATTACAATAATTTTTTAAGACATAGACTGTAATATGAGATATAAAGAAAAACAATACAAGTTTAAAAAGCAGGGGGAAGAAGTTAAACTATAGAGTTTGTATTAGTTTTTTTTCCCACTTGTTTATTTGTTTATGCAAGCAGTGTTAAGTTGTTATCAGCTTAAAACAATGGATTATAAAATAATATTTGCAAGCCTCATGGTAACTTCAAATTAAAAAAACATACAACAGATACACAAAAAATGAAAAGCAAGAAATTAAATCATACCACCAGAGGAAATCACTTTTACCAAAAGGAAGACAAAAAGAAAGGAAAGGAGGAAGAAAAGACCAAAATAACCAGAAAACAAATAACAAAATGGCAGGAGGAAGTCTCTATTATCAATAGTAACACTAAAGATAAATGAACTAAACTCTCCAATGAAGAGACATAGAGGGACTGAATAAATTTAAAAAAAAATGGCCCAATGACCTGTTGTGCACCTATAAAGGTATACATAGATGGAAAATAAAGGGATGAAAAAATAGGATATATTTTAGCTAAAATAAAAATTTAAATATCGTTTCATTTCAATAAGCACAAACTTTATTACAAGTTTGCTCACAAAAATAAGTTTTCAGAGCAGTATTAATGTGTGTATTCCACAATTTCTTCACTGTAAGAATTTATGGTTTAGGGGAAAAATGGTTTGTGGAAGAGACTAAAAACTACAAAAATCAAAGCTGTGAGTTTGCTTTGCAACCAGTTGTAATAATTGATTTTTATATCAGCTCTTCCTAACTTTCTACCTCTTTCTGTGTAAAAGTGAATCATCAGTCTGTGCTCTACAGCTCTCTCCCACACTAATATTTATAAAGTATATAAAAGACAAACATCTGTCTTCCCTAAAAATATATTTTCATTGTGGCATATTCCCTTGTTAACTTAACAAAGCTGTGTAGATATGGAAAAATTTAGTAGTGTAGACCACTTATGAAAAATATTTAAGCACACAAATTTATGTGGGTACACAAATATATTTGTGTATGTGCATGTAACTAAATATATAGATAAATCCTAATACATTATCCTAATTTTGTTCTTTGTAACTGTTAATCTGACACTAGTATATTTATTTAGAATATTCATTACTTAAAGCAAATATTTAAAATAGGATTATTTCAGAATTTATCTGATTTTTAAGAGCTTTTCTCATAAGCACATCTCAAATCACCGTAATGATCTCCCATCTGGCTTTCTTTGTTTGTCTCTATAGCTTTGCCCACTACAAAGTTCTATTTTGTGGTGATATTTTTATTAGTTTCCTCATGACTAAAAACACATGAAAACTCGTATGAGGAGCAAACTTCACTAAAAACATTAATGTTTCCTGGAAAGTAGAGAAAAATTTAAAATTCAACACTATTTATGCTCACACTCTCAATATGATGATGTTTCTCTTTGTATTTTTTAGATATTTGTAAAAAATTATGACGAAAACAAAATATAAGTAATAGATTTGTTACTCAGAGAAGTTGTTAATTCCTACTGGTTAGGAAAATAACTGTCAATGAAATTGTAGTAAATACTTTTAAATAACCAATGATCAAAGTTTTTTATGTCTGGTATTCTATCGAGTTTTGTCCATATTATTACAGAATGTGTAAATATGCAGAAACATAGAAAATGTTCAATTTCTAAACTAAAACATACCAAAATCATAAAAATGTAATTTTTTTTTACACCAAAAGGAAACTTTATTTAGTTATCTTTTCAAAGCAATCTAGTTTTAAGACAGAAAAAGAAAATGACACCTAAAAGAACTGGACAGTACAGCTGGATAGAGGGACAGACAGGAGGGGCTGCCGCTCTGGGTCAGATCTTCGCCATCTTGGAGATGAGGTCGTCACAGATCCTGGTCAGCTCCTCATTCTCTTTAGTCTTCTCCTCCACAGTCCTCTCCAGCGACTGGACCCACATCTGCTCCTTCCTCAGGCTGGCCTGGAGGGCCAATGCTTCCGCCTGGGCCTTGCTCCGGACCTGGGCGATCTCTTCGTTTGCCAGCTGCAGCTTCTCCTCGGCGTGGGCCTTCAGGGCCTGGTACCTCTGGCCTGCCTGGGTGACCCTCGCCAGGTAATCCTCTGCACACTTCTTTAGTGACTCTTCATTCTTGCGGTAGCCCTCAATCACCTCCTTCTGTTTCTCAAAGCGTTTGAAGAGGTCAGAGAAGGACTTCTCCATGGAGTTCAGATCTGCAGTCAGCTGGTCTTTTTCGTTTAGAACTTTCTGGATGTCGGCTTTGGCAAGTTCCTTCTGTTTCTGAACCTCCTCCATGACCTGGAATGTGACCTCCTCGAACCGGTCCATGATCACCCCCAGCTCCAGGTTCTTCCTCTGGAGCTCCTCAGCTTCTGGTTCTCCTCCTGTGCCGCCTTTACCGCCGCGTCCAGGTACTTCTGGCTGTACTGCACCAGGTCCACTATAGGCCCGGTGGACAGAGGTGGGACACCAGGTGCGGGGACACCTGGGGGTGGGTCTGGAACCGGAGCATCCACTGCTCCCAAGAAACCCAACTCCACAAGCGTGGCTTCCCGTGGACTTCCTGAGGGAGGCTCGCTATCAGATACTGATATAGAGTTCAAATGTAAAACATTACATGAGGCAATGCAAGTTTTCATTAATTATCTTATAAAGAACTTATTGCCAGTGAGTTTGATGCTTTATAAAGACAGTGTACCTTGTCTTTAAAAACTTTCCGTCCTTAATTTACTCTGCTTGAGGTGGCTACCTTGCCTTTAGTCTATCTTGTCTTTGTCATCCAAGCACATGAAATGATGAAAGCTTAAGTAAACCTAGAATATAGTTTAGTTTTTGAACTGACTAAATATATTTAATCATATATGAATTCCAATTTGCCATTCATAAATTTGTTCAAATACTTCCAGCATAAGCATAGAAAATATATTATTCCACTTAATGTCGACAATCCAGTGTTATAGCCACCTAAGAAAGAAAAAACTAACAATTTATGTAAAAGAGAGAAGTTTTTAAACCCATAATAGGGCATGGTTGGTACCTAAAGTAAACTGTTCCTAGTAATTGTCATATTTTTAACCCACTCTCAGCTACCTTTATATGAAGAAAAATCTCTTTTATCCTGTGAGGTTTTCTATTGCTTATTAGAAGTGCCTTTCCTGTGGAAGTTTGCTCAGAGAAAGCTTTCTCCTCAACATCATTTCTTATACTTGAATGTGGAATCTGGAAAACAATATTTAACCTCTCACAGCAAAGTTAATGTTCTTACAAATACACATACCTTTTATCTGTGTTGTATGAATTTTAGGTTGCTTTTTTACTTTTTTTTTTTTTTTTAAGGCAGACTTTCACTCTGTCACCCAGGCTGGAGTGCAGTGGCACTATCTTGGCTCACTGAAATCTCCACCTCCAGGTTCAAATGATTCTCCTGCTTCAGCGTCCCACGTAGCTGGGATTATATTCATGCACCACCACTCCTGGCTAATTTTTGTATTTTAGTAGAGATGGGGTTTTGCCATGTTGGCCAGACTTGTCTCGGAATTCCTGACCTCAAATGATCTGCCCTCCTTGGCCTCCCAGACTGCTGTTACAGGCATGAGCCACTGCATCCAGCCTGCTTTTTAAAATTGAAGACTTTCTCTTGGAAACCAAGCAAACTTATCTATGCAAAGCTACTTACATGGTAGATAATTGCTAAAAATATGGAAAAAAAAAACCAGACACACGAGAGCTTATCGGCATGAGAATTCCACAATCTCGCTATCAGATACTGATATAGAGTTCGAATATCTGCTTGAGGTAGCTTCTTTTTCACTATATTGATCTTTTTTGCATAACTTTCACCCACTGCCATTAACTTAGTTCAGTAAAGACATTATTTTAGGTAATACAAAATGATTTGTGATCCCCTGTCACTATAACCATACCGAAATCCCTGGCTGTATATTTTAACGAGACATTTGAAATATTTCCTTGGGGATTTTAATTGACATAACCATACTGCCATATATTCATATTTGAGGCAGCTGCCTTTATGGCCAAGTAGGTATTCAATTGCAAATCATTATTTTATTGGTAGATCAGATGATTATGACTTTATTTCATAGGGAAGATCCACTACATAAAATAAGGCTGTCAAAGTGCAATAAAATTACTGTTTTTGCTGTTCCAATTACCATCTTCTCACTCCTTTTAATTGTCTCATTCATTGAAGATCAGAAATGGAAGTAGCCTATTTACCCTGAAATCAGTATGTTCCTGAATTCTCTGAGTATTTTTTTTACTTCATGTAAAACGTTCATTTTTATAGGAGATGGAATTTGATACATTAAGAAAGTTAATCTTTATTGTAACCAAGAAAAAGTTCTGGATGAATAACCATTGCCTTTCTTTTTGGAAATCATGACTGACATATTAAATTGCTTAAATTTTGTTGTAATCCCCAAATCTGTAGTTACATGACATCCTTAATTTTAAACATTTTAAAGGATGACTTTCTGATGGTCTCATTGCTTCCTATGCACTGTATCAAATGGTGAATTAAACCAAGTTAAAAGAATTTTAGAAAACACTTAAAGTATGTATGCCATATGCTGTCTACTTATGGTATACCAATTAAATTATTATATATTTTACCTATACATGAATTGTTATCTTCTGCCTTTGCATAATACACAATATGGGCATAATACGTATATGGATAATATGTCATTTATGGAAATGACATTTATACCCCACAATGTGTATTGAGTAATATTTATTTTATATGAATAACATGGTTGCAATTACTACTCACATCTCTTAACCTACTCCCTCCTCTGACAATGATGGTAATTCTTTTCTTTCCTGTTTTTTTTTTTTTTTTTTTTTTAAGCCATGGTCTCCTTTATCACTCAGGCTGAAGTGCAGTTGGTGCAAAGTTCACATCAACTTAGACTTCCTAGGCTCAGGAGATCCTCCCATCTCATCCTCCTAGTAGCTGGAACTATAGGTGCATGCATGCACAAACACTCCAGGGTAATTTTTGCATATTTGTATAGAAGGAGTTTTCTATGTTGAGCAGATGGGTCTCCAACTCGTGAGCTCAAGCAAACCTCCCTCCTCAGCCTCCCAAAGTGCTGAGGTTACAGGGTTCAGCCACGGTACTCGACCAATGATGGTAATATTTTAATCATAATCTGGTCTTTTCAAATTTATCAAAGAAGACATGGTAAAAAGAAGTGTGCATAACCATGTCTAAAGAGATATTATTAAGCATAAAACATTTTGGGAAGACTTTGGAAGAAGCAAATGGAAAGAATTTTGAATTTTAGATCTGATTTTATATTGATGCTTGTTTAATATTACCACCACTCAAGTTTGATTTTACTTTAGGTCATCTAATATTAACAGTTCTTTCCCCTTTTATTTCTGATGTCAGATTCTTCCCTTTTCTCCCATCCAAACTTTCCACCTATTGGGTTGTCCTCCTTGTTCCAAGGCTTATCCTCACCTTAAGCAATGAATTATTTCTATATTGAATGATTCCCATGCTAGTCAATTGTTTTTTCCCGCCTTTTCTTCTTAATCCAATAAAATCTCTAAACATTTATTATTAGGATGATTGTCTTTCCTCCTTGATCTGAAGACTGAAGTTATATCTGCCTTTTATTTTAACTTTTTGGGATGGAGTCTCACTCTGTAGCCAGGCTGGAGTACAGTGGTGGGATCTGGGCTTACTGCAACCTCTGCCTCCCAGGTTCAAGCAACTTTCCTGCCTCAGCCTCCCAAGTGGCTATGACTATAGGCGTGCGCCACCACACCCAGCTAATTTTTGGATTTTTAGTAGTTATGAGGTTTTACCATGTCGGCCAGGCTGGTCTCGATCTCCTGACCTCAGGTGATCCACCCATCTCCGCCTCCCAAAGTGCTGTGATTACAGGTGTGAGCCACCATGCCTATAAAGCAGCCTATATCTGCTTTAAAAGTGGATAGGAGTCTCACACTTAATAAAAACAACTCGTGAAGCTTTTGTACTACATATAATTTCATCCTTAAGAAAATTTCCATTGTAGCATAATTTAAAAGTGTGTTACAGACATGGAAATCAAGGTCAGAGAAAAAGAAGCAGAGAATTATTTATAGTAGAGATGGATAAATATAATTTCTAGGCTTTTAATCTATTCATAAAGTTTGAAAATAATTTTTTGGGTATATTCTCAATTAATTAATTTGATGTAACATTGAAAATTGAATACCTTAAAATAAATTTTTTAAACTTTTTTTTAAAAGGTTTAAATAAAAGTTTAAAAGGTTTGGGGATACACGAGCAGACTTGTTCCATAGGTAAACTGTGTGTGAAGGGGGTTTGGTGTACAGATTATTTCATTACCCAACAGGTGGTGTGATGATCCTCACCCTTCTCCCAGCCTCCACCCTCAAGGCGGCTACAGTGGCTGTTGTATCCTTCTTTGTGTCTCTATGTACTCAAGTGTTTAGCTCTGATATGGTTTGGATATGTGTCCCCACCCAAATCTCATGTCAAATTGCAATTCCCTATGTTTCAGCTGGTGCCTGATTCGGGGGAGATTGGAATATGGGGGCTGATTTCCACCTTTGGTACTGTCTTGGCATATAGTTCCCAGTAGATCTGGTTATTTAAAAGTGTGTGGGATCTCCCCCACTCTCTCTTCCTCCTGCTCCAGTCATAAAGACACGCTTGCTTCTCCTTCACCTTCTCCCATGATTTTCCTGAGGCCTCCCAAGCCATGCTTCCTGAACAACCTGCAGATTGGTGAGCCAATTGAACCTCTTTTCTTTATAAATTATCCAGCTTCAGGTATTTCTTTATAGCAACATGAGAGCTAATACAAGCTCCCACTTACAAGTGAGAACATGCCATATTTGGTTTTCTATTCCTGTGTTAGTTCCCTTACAATAATGGTCTCCAGATCCACTCATATTGCTCATTCTTTTTTAAGGTTGCATAGTATTCCATGGTGTATATGTACCACATTTTCTTTACTCACTCTACTGTTGATGGTCATTTAGGTTGATTCTTTGTCTTTGCTATTGTGACTAGTGCAGCAATGAACATACACATTCATGTGTCCTTATGGGTGAAGGGGAGAAGAAAAGAAAGCACACTGCCATGTGTGTACCTACGCAACTGTCTTGCATGCTCTGCTCATGTACCCCAAAACCTATAATCCAATAAAAAATTAAAAAAAAAAAAATTAAAAAAAAAAAAAAGGTACAATGGTTTATACTCCCTTAGGTATATATTCAATGATGAGACTGCTGAGTTTAATGGTAGTTCTGTTCTAAGTTCTTTGAAAAATCATCATACTGTTTTTCACATGGCTGAACTAATTTACATTCTCACCGGCAATATGTGTTTCCTTTTCTCTGTAACTTGGCCAACATCTGTTATCTTTTGACTTTTTAATCATAGCCATTCTGACTGATGTGAGATAGTATCTCATTGTGGTTTTAATTAGCATCTTTCTAATGATTGGTGATGCTGAGTATCTTTAATGTTTGTTGGCCGGTATACGCTTCTTCTGAAAAGTATTGGTTCACGTAATTTGCCCACTTTGTGACAGAGTTGTTTGTTTTTTGCTCGTTAATTTAAGCTCCTTGTAGAGTCCAAATATTAGACCTT